TTGGAATTTCTGTACTGGTGTTCAGCGCGTTTCATAGGTGTGTGTTGCTCCGTAAACTTTGATGGAATTCTGTCGACCTCTGTGATTTGGTCAGCGGTTCCGTTATGGGGGGTCTGTCCTCTGTTGACGCCCGCGAGGATTCCGTAACACGTGGTTCCGTTCTGTAAGGTTGTGTGGATCTCTGTAGCCGTCTATGCTGACGTCAGTATGGCCCCGCCAGTTTCTGTTAGACAGTTTTTCTCTCTGTGGCCCGCTCGCGGATTCCGTTGACTGTACGGAATTTTAACGGAGCCAACCAAATTCTGTTGTGGACGGACAGAAGGGGCCACCTCTGAAGGTAAAACATGCATAATATGGTTAGAACTCCTGAATAAGGATTCTTGGATTTGCCAGCACAAAATTTGGTGTTTTTGAGTGCTGAGCATCTTGTTATGATTAGGAAATACGGTTGAACAAGTGGCACGGCTTGAGTTTGCACAAGAGAGGAGAAAAAATTAAGGAAAATTATAAATAGTGTTCTGAACTCTTGAATAAGGAGTTTGTTGGTTTGTATCATCATCTTATGCTTGACAAAGGGAATTGCATTGCTGACTAGTTAAACATGAACCAGAAAAAATACTATTTTGAAAGTTGCTGAAAAAGAAAATGAGAAACATGCTTTGGTTTAGTAATAGGAGTGCTGCCCCTGAGTAGGGGGTGCTGAGGCTACGGAGAGCAATTACAGCTCATTTTGCCTCGTTTTACCATTTTTTCTTGCTTGTTGTCGACCAATGAGTGTGTGGCACGTGTAGTGCTCGGTGGCTAACCCTCTTTCATCATGGCTTGGACCCATGGGCATGGACGGAGGCTGTTTTGCTTGCAATATGGTGACACGACCGGGACCCACGTCTTGCACAGCCTGGCACTCGAATTTCCAGCGCCTAGTGGATGGGCGGGGCCTGCAAGAGTGGGGCCCACTCCAGGGTGCCTTTGTGCTCCCCAAATTGTGGCAGGTCCTCGAAACAAGGACCATGAGGATGAGGGGCCAGCGGTTCTTCACCACCACCCTCATTCTGTATACTCACACCCCGTTCAATGTCAAAGAAATCTGCAAGAGAGGGGCATGCGGCCAGGCCCAGGAGAGAAGGAGGGTGAGGTGCAAGCTGGCGCGCAAAGAGGCACAGAGATTGTTGGGAGGTCAGTCGGCAAATGTGGTAGATGGAGGTGGGAGCGGTGAGCTTGCGACGGGAGTGTAGACCGGTGATATGGAAATTGAGGAGGGCTTGGTGGAAGCTGTGCATGTGGGTTGGCCGGGCGATGATCTCCCATTTGGGATGGAGTCCGATGGAATTTAGCCATAGAAGTTGGAGGTGGGCACAAGCGCTGGTGGGGAGGTGTCCGGGGAGCCAAGCTCCCTAGATGATTTTTACATATCCAGGTGGCTACGTGGACAACACTGGGGCCGCTGTGAAACATGAGCCTCTCGAGGGCTAGGGGTGGGTTGCACCACCAGAATCCTAGCAGTGTGATCGTTTTGATCATGGCACCATGCAGCGAGTGGTGGGGGCAGGTGCAACAAGACGGAAGGGGCCCCCAGGCCGGGGCCACATGACAAGAAAGGGGGGGTATGAAGGATGGCCCGGGATTGGATGAGTAGGGGGCCCACATGACTTTGCAAGGCAGGAAAAGAGAGGATTTGGACGAACATTTTTTCTTTATGTTTCACGATGACAGAGTGACAACAATGGCCGCACTCCAGGTGGTTGTTTGACATGCACGAAATGATCTATAAGCCCAGATGAGGGCCCTTTGCTGACAGCCCCTAAGACAAGGAGAAGTCATAACACCATAGGAATGCTCACCCACTAAGCTGATTGATCCAATTGCTACAACGGACTGATTGGACAATGAATCATGTGACAAAGCGAGGTTCAGCGATGCACAAAGGCAAAGAGCATTGAGTGAATGACAAAGCCAAAGGCAACCTAGGTGCGGTTTCTCAGAGGCCAAGCATGATTGCTCCTTCACCGTTGGCCCAAAGTACGTCATGCACTCATCGGATTGGGTTACATGATGGATCAGGCTTGTGGATTCAATGTGCACAGACAGTTGGTAGCATGTGTCTTGCATGATAGGATGCGATGGATGTCGATAAGCAAAATGCATTAGAAATTTGCCTTGATATGTGTGGCAGACAGGTTGATGATTGTTCGTGATCTCGTGAGTGAAAGCTGGCACTAAGCCTTTGTGCACGGGTGACATGCCTGACTAATGATGGGCAAGATATACTGACATCAAGTGCGAGATCGTAGAGATCGTGTAGAGACCACAAACCAAAGGCAAGTAAGGGACCTGCCCAGGTAGTTGTTGAATGTACTATAGCCAATCCAAAGACTTGTGTATCACTGCACTTCTTTATCTTGGAACATGGCAATTTTAGCCAGGACTACTACAAACTTCACGCTGCATGCTCTGTTAGCAAGGGCATGGGGTGCAACCTGAACAATGTACTGAAATGATTTGCATGCTGCATATGGCCAGCTGCTTGTAAGATTTGGCAAGCTTGGATCATGTGCCCTTCAATCCACATTGTTTCTCACATTGTCCTCATGTTCTCCTTTTATTGGACATCATGCGACAGCCTGCTAACCAACATAAGAATTGAATCATAATGCTGATTGTATCATAGTGAGACCATCCGTGTGAGTATTTAAACACCTGTCAAGAAGTGATGGGACATTGGCAAGACACCAATGGTGTGACGCCCGGCAGAAATAGGATCCAATTACTCAAAGTCTAATAGACATCATACACTCAATCCCCCCAAGTCAAACTGCTGGGAAGACTATGGTTCAGCAACAACATTAGGGCACAAATTGGCTTACAAAATGTGAAGCCACGTGTCACAGGATCGGGTCTTATTGTATCACTTCGCACCAAGCACATTGTTGATCGCATCAGACTTGATGATCTGGGGTTCGTGTAGCATCATATGCCTGCCATTTAGCAGCAGAAACACCACAGTAATATGTTGTGCCAAGAAGTACCATATTTACCCAGTGTTAGTATTCGCCTCCTATTTTCCAACCCCCTGGCTTGGGGTCCAGATCACGTTAGTATCCATGACCAGGTGTTAGTATCCACCCCCAACCCTCAACGGAAACGAGCTCAAGAGGGCTCGCTGGATTTGCCTTGAAGAGAGGAAGCTAGTTTGCTTGTTTTCTTCGCACAATGCTCTTGTTGCACTCCCTCAATGTGCGGTAACTGCCAAAAAGTGCTCACCTAGTAGTGCTGACGTGATGCGTGCGATGGCTGCTTGCTTCACAGCTTGTGCAGCTAGTCTGATTGTTGAGAATGAGGCTGTTGCTCATCGTGCAACTGTAGGCATGTGAGCCCAGCACAATGATAGGATCGGAGTCGTTCACACACATGCTGGCAATGCATATTGTAGTCAGAATTTTTGCCATGGCGCACACCTCGACAGAGGCCAAATTGGTTCCCATGGCACCCAGCAGCACAACCACGATTGCAAAGTGCATTCCGCTGCGGCATGCAGTGGGGGCTGTCAGCCACATGCACTTCTACGCAATGCACTTTGCATTATTTCAAGCCCATTTCTGGGTATTTCTCACCACAATTTTCAAAAATTTTCTTTGCCTACTCCTTGGAAGAGGGGCCTCAACTGTGTTAATATCCATGATCTGTTGTTAATATCCACTGCTCATTTTGGAGGTTCAATATATTTATACTAACACCGGGTAAGTACAGTATTGTCCACTGGCGCACGTTTCCCAAACACAGTTCTTCAATGAAAGCAATGTGTCTCCCTGGACTTCAGGATTGGTGCATCAGCGTCCAAGGTACGGCATCATGAAACATTGCACCTGTGCTCCTAGCCCCACTATTGCCCACTATTTCTGCCTTCCTGCTTGGCATACTCCGGTCTTGCCATCCCCCCTATGAAGCCCTTAGCTGCTTTCTTTTTGGACACGTCTTTTTCAACTTGGCCACTGCCCGGCTGTCCATCCATGCCCATCGCTCCCAGGTCACCCTGGGCCATAAGATTCCTGGAACACGTCAAGAGCAACGTGTGCCAAGTCATGCCCCACAGTCCCCATAACAGCAGTAGCAGCACAAGCACTGCCAACAACACCAACAGCAAACCTGAAGCTTGTTGTTGTAGAGCTTCTGCAATTCTCTTTGTGCGATCAACTTTTGCGTCATGTGCATCACACTATGCTTCTTTTGGAGGTGGCACAATCCACACACCTCTTCTGCTAGGATAGGTGCAGCCTCTTTAATGCCATGCAGTTCTTTGGGAATCAAAAGAAGCACCTTGGCTGAATCAAAATGATGCACTATACACTGTAGTGTTCCAATAAGTGTGCTGATTAGCCAAACGTTGATGCATGGTTTTGTGCTCTGCTGCTCAACACAGAATCTATAGTCATGTCCAACCCCTCTATGCATTCCAGTCCTTCATTCAAGCATGTTGGTGGCCTTCTCCATTCACAATGGTTTATGATGTTCCAATTTGGGGACACTCCCCAGTCCCAGGGCACTGCGTGCCATGAGCTCACTGCTCTTGACTCTCTGACACAAGCACAGTCTGCACTGTCATTGCCCTGCAGCTGCAAGGATGTCCATTGCCATGCATTGGCAAAGGCAGTCATGAAAAGATGATGTCAAGCACACAAGTTGCAACACTGTCGTTTTGATCTTTTCTCATTGTCTGGGTGTCTGGCGTGCTCATCGTTCTTGGAGATGAATTTTCACATGCCTCTTCCCTTGCACTGGATAGTAATTTCTTTGTACAAGGTCGTTGACAAAGTCGAGCAACGTACCATGGTGAGCTAGCAAACACAGGTACTGCCGATCAGGTGTCTGACCTCAGAATTTTGGTGCAAGCCTGCCTGATGGCAGCACTACGACTGACCAGCATCACATCAGCACATTTTACTGTTTGGACAATTCTCGACCACTGCTCTAAGTCGTTAACCAACAGTGGAATGCTCACACACCTGCCCATCCTACATTTGAAATACTCCCTTGCCTGCACTTGACAGCTTCCTGTGTCATCCTCATTCTCTTTTAGGCATTTCATGTATTGCTTCATCTCCTGCACACTCAAAGTGTCATACAGCATTCAAGAGCCTTTTCGTCCTTTGTTTGCTGGAAGCACCACGCTGCAATGCCTGAACTGCAGCATCCACAGTTCTTGCAAAGGGTTGTACTTGGCAACCATGATGCTTATGCAATCTTGAAGCAAGTTGATGGGCAAGTCCAAAAGGCAAATAACTGTACTTCCCAAGAAGGCGTCCTTTCTGTTCTGGGCAAGCCAAAAACTACAGTTCTCTCAACATAAGCGCACTGTTAGGGGCGTTTCCATGCTTGCAAAACAGAATGGAAAGTCTTCATGGTAATTCATCCATCAGGTCGAACTTCGACAGCAGGATGACAGCCCCGAAATGCGCATCGCAGTGATATGAGCAAGGGTGTGAAAATTCCATGAAATGAGTACTCCTGAGTGCAGGTGCTACACCTTGACACATTCTCTGTTCCGTTGCTTCTTCTTAGAGTCAGAGACCTCTGTATCATCTTTCATAGAAGTGAAAGAGATTATCATGACCATCATTGCTGAAGAGGGGGCCCCCCAATGTGTAGCATGTTGCGTTTACATAGGGAATCTTTCACGATATTCACAGTCTCCAGTGCAAGCACTGTCCCAAGTTGCCTGGGCAAGGTCTTGTGCGGAATGGGCAAGACATATTCAGCGCTTGGCAAATGTCAGTAAAACTACAATACGGAACCGTAACGGAACCGTAATTTAGCAATGAAACATAGAACTCTGATTCAAAACATGCCATCGGCTCTGTGGCCATAAAGCTGTCTAAGCATGAGCTGTTTTTCTTTTCCACATTCAGGCAAGTCTCCCACAAAGAATCGGTGTTTCTGGTCCACAATGGTGGGCTTCGGATATGTCTGCACAGTGGTGAGTATTGCATCGCTGGTTGCTCGTTCCAAAATCTGGATCGGGTGCACAGCGAAAGGATCGAAATGGCCAACAGGGACATTCAAACAATGATCTAATGCTTCGACAAGTGCTACTGAAGAAGTCTTTATCTCATCCATGCAGCACCCTACAACTTCAACCATGCCTTGTGCTCTGCAATGCGGCGTGCGATCGACGCGCCTATGCGCTGTAGAAACACATACTGCCTAACGTTTCAGAGCCCGAGGCACAGCTCGGACTGATCATGTTGGGCGATTCGTTGCGCAGCGTTCATTTGCAGGAATGGCGATTCCCTGGGGCCCCAGAGGCTCATCCAGGACCGCTGTGATACCTTGGAGCACTCGCCAAAGTGGTCCAAAGGGAAGACTCCCTTCTCCGGCGGCTTTGGCTGGTATCCTTTGGCGCCCCCGAAAGCACTCATCAGCCCCTCCGCGCCGATTGTGCCCGTGCCCAAGACTCCCTGCTCCAGCTCTCCAACCTCTGCGACAGAATCTACGAGTGTCTGTCACAGATGTCTGACATCAGCACATCGCATTCACCAAAGAAGGCGTCCTCTCCTTGTGTGCTTGTTTGTGGCTGGGGGCGCGCATTCTGCTAAGTCGAGGTCGAGTCGGGATTGAAGTTCATGTTGGCGCAGCTGTTGGCGAGTTGACGGCCACAGTGCGCGAGGCGCGAAACAGCCTCGCACCTGGTTGTGGGGAAAAGTAGCAATGCGTCCTGCTTGGTGAGATCCGGGCGCCCATCGCCGCCGTTCTGCACTATTCTCGGCGCGACCGGCACTATTTCAGCTGCCGGCAACACGGCTGGTGGCTGATACTCAATTTTGTTCAACTTGTTCGTTGGTCCGGAAGCAGGGTGCAAATTGCTGCCCATACCTGATGTCCCTGGACGGTTGAAAAAGGTGTTCGCGATTGTGGAGCTGTTTGATGGGAAATTGCGACATAAGTTTATTGTGCGCTGCCCAACCGGAATGGGCATGGTGGTGAAGAAAGCGGCTCGCTTTCGCTGGGGGACCGCCCAGTGTACATTTGTGGCGCGCAGTTCTTCACAGAACTTCACTCTGGTCCCCTGAGCCCTATCCCTTGCCTCAATTAACACGCCGTCTTTTGTCTCAGGGCTACGGTACAAAGCTCCTCTACTCTGCTCTACACTAGAAATGCCTCCAAAAAGAACAAGTAACCACTGCTAATCTGTCAGATTCCAAAACTGTACTTGGGGTTTGCTGCTACGGAATCTTTGCTGATGAGACCTGCCAAAGGGGAAAACTTCAAAACTTCCAGTGATGAAGTTCGCCCTGAGTGCAGGGACCAGGTGGACAAGATTGATTCACTGCAAAGGCTGGGTAGCAAGGGAAAGCAGTGTGTGGTCCTTTACAGGTCGCAATGCCTCCAGATTACCACAATGAAGAGCGTAATCGGTTCAGCAATGGGCGGGATGGAAATTGCTATGAGTACAGACAGCTAGAAAGACAGCTCAACGGGAATCTTCATGCAGAAGAAGCTCCCCGCACTCGCCGAATCTCAGCGGTCAGTAAAGCGTGACTGGCTGTTACGGCTTGCTTTGGCTTGCCTAGGTTTGGGAAGGATCGTATCTTCCTGAGAATATCTGTCGGGAGCACGCCCCTTAAACGGACCTAGCCTGTGTTTTTACTTTTGGTTAGGGTTGTAGATGAGTTTGCATTGGACTCTGGTGGTGGTCTTTATTTTGATTATTCTAGTTTGTTTGCAGAGCAGGGGTGGACACAATATGACATGCATGCCTTGGTTACTGCAACAGAGTTTGAGTGGGTCAAAGATAATGTCTGTGGCTGATATCGCAAATCTGTCAGGTTGGAGCCTGTTAGAACAGCTTTGAGACTCTCTTTCACATAACCCATGTTTTCTTTGCTGTTTGCGTTGATGCAGCGAACAGCTCCTGAACATTATCAGCCACGAAGACACCACCCTAGGTTTGTCCGAGAACATGAAAGAGGAGGTGAGGCAGGCAGAAAACATGGAAGTGCAGGCTGGGCTGCCAGTCGCTTGCAGTCAACAGAGGGCTTCAAAAGGGCGTCTGGAGGGCGTTACTGTGACTCAGAAAGAGAACCATGGGATGCTGAGCCATCACAGGCCAGATGGAAAGCAAGGCAAAGTGTAGAGGTAAGGAAACATGAGTTCTTTGGCAACCTGCTGTGTGCAGTGCAAAGCGAAGTTTACAAAACAATTTGGTTCTAAACATTAAAACCAGCAGAGGCACCAGGATGAATTTCAGTGCCAGCAGCAGCACTGAGCCAGCACAGTGTAGGAGCAGAACACAGGAGGTCACCCCTGTTTTGGGCATTTGTTGTCTGTGAGCCCTGTTGAATACTGTTGTCACCCACAAAGTGTGGATTGGTATCTGTGTATATGGATGTTTCTGAAATAGCAAGAGCTTTGTAAGATTCAGGAGATGAGGAATATAGAATGGAATAAGCAGAGATTGGCAGCACGTGTAGACACCTGCTAATGGGGATGTGACCAAACATGTACACCATAAGTGTGCCCCAGAAATGGCTACTGAGAATTGCAATCAGCATCCAACAGCAAAGGAGAGCTTGGTATGTGTGCCTCTTCAGGTGTGGCAAATCAGAAACCCTTCAATGCCATCTTCAGTTGTCTGGCAAAGGGGCACAGGAAAGAGAGGAAGAGAACCAGGGGGACGACCTACTTATTCACAAGGTCCGTGGGATGGCATGGAGGCGACCAGGAGTGACCATGATTCAGGAGATGGTGGCTACACCCAGTACTACCCAAGCACATGGAATGGCCAAGGAAGCTCAATGGACAGGCGGCACAAGGCAACCATCGCGCACATGGATGGGGCAACCTCACATGGCTGCACAGAGGCAGATCCACGTTCATCTTGGAAAGGTGGACGCAGGGGAATAGGACACCATGGCAATATTCACCAGTTTGGAGCACCAATGGGTGCTCGCAAACAGGATTGGTCTGGCAATCTGATGATTGATGGCAATCATTTGAGCAGCTTCATTAGACAAGGAGCAGGTGGACTGCAGCAAAGCAAAGACCACCTTGTGAGTAGGCAGGGCAAGAGAATTATTGCTGAAATATGAAGACTGCTCCACTTCGCTGTTCATCAGAAGCATTAAAGCCCTGAGAATGGTCATTTCTGTGCCAAAACTTCCAAATGTAAAAGTAGGAAACGTTCCCAGAGTTTGTGTTTCTGATTTTCCACAGCATTTGAGAATCAATTGCCAATGTATTGTCCAATCAGAAGAGATGAGGATCGTTTCCCATCTCACAAAACAGTGGATACCGATGTGAAACCAAACAAGAAGACTGTTGGCTTGATGACCGATGCACACTCTCAAAAGCAGGGAGAAGCTCAGCACTCTGTGGCAGAGGCATTTTTCAGATCACGTGCCAGGACAACTTGTGGGGTTGCGATGATCTGATATGATAGTCAGTGGACCATTGGATTCATATGGTTGTGGTATCTAGTGAAGGAAAGACATCACAATATACTTTGTCATGAATATCATTAAGAGCAGCGTCAGACCATGTATCCAGCATTTTGTTCTTTGCAGGAACTTAATCAACTGGATTGCAACTTTTGTATCAGTTTCTTCATTGGGTTTGTTTCTCCTCTAACGGATGGCAGATTGGCATTGAAGCAGCTGGCCTGGCTGTATGTGCACAATCAGTAGATGAGATGCAGCAGCAGCAGCCGCTGTGTGGCTGTGGCCAAGCAGCCACGACAGGATTGAACTCTACAGGCCAGAGTTGTCAGGTGCACTCTGAAAAGGGAAGATCTCTTCGTCAAGAAGAGTATGTAGGCGAACCATAATGGCTGCAGTCACAATCATTTCAGTTTTCAGTGTGAAAATGTTTTTTTGAACGTTTTTATAGGAAATTGAACTTGCAGCAGCTGTTGTTGCAGTGATATTATCATGTTAATACAGGATGTATTGCTACAGGGAGCTTGCTTTCGACCAGAAGAACACCATTCAGGCTCAGCTCGGCAGCATGCTGCTGGTTCATTCGGCCCTGTTAATGTGTCCCCCATCCCTGAGAAGCAAATGCCGGAAGGTGCACTGTTGACAGCACCAGATAGAGAAAAGAAAAGAAAGCTGGCCGAGCAGGGCGAGTTTAAGGTTCGGGAGGGAGCACAAGGGGCGGGATTGTCAGGAGGTGTGATTGCTGACAAAACTGGGCTTTTGCACCAGGGTGGTGCACTGAGTGTCATGCTGGATGGTGGTGGCTTTGGCCGTGAGGGTCCTGTCACAACTTCGGTGTGGGGCGCTGGCTATGTACAACATCGAATTCCAGGACCACTGACAGGTAACCGTGTGGAGTCCTTAGCCAGGACTGTGCTACAAAGAGCAGACTGTCCTAGTTCCATGCAGCAGGCACACGCTGCTCTTCCAGGCATACTGTCAGTTCCCACAGCAAATGCAGCAGGTGATGCAAAAGCCCCAGACACTGGGTTTTCCCTCTCCCTCCATGTTCGTGGATTTGGAAGCCCTCAAAAGGATGAGGTTGCCAAGGAGGTGGTTTTGCCTGAGTCGCCGGTAACACCCCCAGCAGAGGCCAGCAGTTCTCCAGAGAAAAGATTGCCGTTCTACGTTGAGCATGATGTACCAACTGCAAATATCCCAGGTCCGGATGCCAGCAGCCTGCGGTTGCTCACCCTGAAGGACAGCCATTTGAATCAGGCACTTGTGGAGGATGCTGTGGGCAGCATTGTGGGCCAATCTGATAGGCAGTCCTCTGTGGCATACACCCCTCAGGAACCTTCAGCTGTAAGTGAGGCGGAGGGCTTTAAACCTTTGGCTGGAGGCAACTGCTTGCTGGCTGATGTTGCCAAGGAGAGGCCACACCCAGAACCTCAGTGCAAGAGCATTGGTGTGGACAGCTTTCAGGAGTCTTTGAAATCGATTTCTTTAGAAGATCGACCTGCAGGATGGGTAGAAGATGAATTGCCTTCCAGTGAGAGTGCTCATGCACAGAGCAACTGCCCCCATCTCCCACCACATTTGATGGCAAAAGTTTCCCATTCTGGAGGAGGTGCAACTGAACCTGATCTGCACAGCAGATCGGGTAGCCAGGAGCACTGTGAGACACAGACGCATCACAGGGAAGCTCAGAAAATTGAGGCACAGGGCAGCCGTAGGCGTTGTAGGGATACCCTTGAGCCGTCCTCCACTGATGCAGCCCATAGGTTGAAGAATCCCCAAAGCAGTAGTGTGCATATTCGATCTAGGTCACCACCATTTTGCAGGGAGAACTCTCCTGTTTGCAGACACCCTGGTGTCCATGGGAGCCATGATGCCAGAGGAGCTGAGGTGTGCCCAGGTTTCTCCCATGCACACTGTGAGGTCAAGGTTCTGCCATATGAAAGGAGCCACAGTCGGAGGGGCTGGCAGCCTCAGGGTGAAAGGATGAGGATTGTGCCAAAAGCGTCAGACCCAGCACAGCAGATGCAGGTGGCGCGATTCTCTATACCAAAGCAACGAAGTAGGCCTGCAGATGAATGCTGCCATGAAGCACCCGCAGATCGTTTGGAAGTATGGAGGGGTGATGCACTTGGCAATCAGGTGCGTCGAAAGGGCATCTCTAGGTCATGTGAAGGTCGTGAGTTCAGGCATCTGCAGGGCAGTAGAGGGCAGCGTTTGTCATTGTCGCCTCCACTGTCTACGGCAGCGTCTCCTGCCTGTGAAAATGGTGTCCCCCTGTGTCGCCAACGTGATGCATTGACTGTTCATGAGCATTGGCATGGACAAGAGTGTTGGTCAGGTGCGTATGGGCCCATACAGGGTTGTAGCACATGGCAGCCCAGGTACACAAAACATCCATGGGCAGCACAGGTATCTGCGCCAAGGCAACAGGGTAGGCCATCAGGTGGTAGACGGTCAGGGAACCCAAAATTTGAGGCAAAATTCTGGAGATTTGTTCCATATAGTAGCCATGGACGTCACCAGGAAGTATCCAGCTCCTCTTCCGATGAGGGCTATAGGTTCAAGAATCCTTGCGAGAGCGGGGACCAGTTTCAATCCAGGGCACACTCATTGCCTCAGCAGACGTCCCCTGCTGCCCAGAATGCTCAGGAAGGTGTGAATCACAGTGACAAACAAGGTGGCCAGAGGAAGAGCTGCTATCAGTTGGATGATCAGGATATGTCAGGATATATATCCGGTAAAAGGGGCAATCTTCCAGAGATATTTGGTGAGCCAGAATGCAGAAGGACCAGGATTCCAATACATTCAGCTTCACAGGTGCAGGAGCCAGGACTGATGCAATCCTCTGTGCTGCATTCAAGTGGTAGAGCTGCAGATCGGGGACAGCGAGCAGCTCCAAAGGAACTTCTGGAAATTTGGAAACATCAGCCACAGCGCTGCCAGAGCTGTCCCCAGGACATGCTGGATTCATCTGATGATGATGGAGTCTACAGGTTCAAGAAACCACAGAGCATCAGAAGCCTGTCTCGATCAAAGTCACCAAGAATGTCTCCAGAGGCATCCCCTGCTTGCAAGAATGTTGAGCAGTGTGGTAGTCATGACGATGGACAACACGAGCAGGTGTCAGGTCATTTTCAGGAGGCACATCAGGGTGCTTATCAACTGGCATCGGGGGACCAGGATCATGCACTTAAACAGGTCATGGATCCAGAAAGCAGGGAGAACAGAATCCCATCAAGGTTGGCCATGGCAGCACTGCAGTTGCAGGTGTCAAGACCAGCACAACTTGCTGCATCACGCTTGAGCTGTAAAATGGCAGATCGAAAAATGCACACAACAGCAAACTGCCAGTTGGCAAGATGGAGTGTTGAGCTTGACGGAATCCAGGACCCTCTGCAGGACGTATCTCATTCATCTGACAATGATGAGGGCTACAGGTTTAAGCAGCTACACAGAGATGCATGCCGCTCTCGCTCTTGCTCTGGGTCTCCAACTTTGCGTCAGGGGACATCCTCTAGTCTCAGGATTGCTGAGCAGTGTGGCAGTCATGATGAGAGGCATAGTGAAAAATATGCAGATGCCTTCAAGGCAGACCATCTGGATGCTTGTGAACTGCTGGCTGGTGATGGGGACCTTGTGTTTCAACAAACCAAGAAGCAGGAAGCCACAAGAAACAGACAGTCATCATGGTCACCAGGGGCGACAACACAGTTGCAGGTGTCAAGTCTTGCACAATGTTCTGCATCATTTTTGAGAGTTGGACATGCTGAGCAAAGGTGGCAGGCACCACAAAATCACCAGTTGGCAAGGAGCACTTATCAGCAACACAATTCACAGGGCACTTCCAATTTGTCTGACGGTGATGAATGCTGCAGATTCAAGAAACTGCAGAACATCGGGAGCCGCTCTCGATCTAAGTCACCACCAATGCCTCAGGAGGCATCCCTTGCTAACAGTATGGCTGTGAACTGCAGTTGTGAAGATGACAGACAAGGCGAACAGCGGCCAGAGCACCCTGAAGGGGAGCAGCAGAATGCTCATGAACGTGCATTTGGCAATAGTGGTGATCAGCATTGTAGTATTGGGGAGCTGAAAGGCAGAAGAAGCAGCATCCCAAAACAGTCGCCAGCAGGCCAGGTACAGGTGTCAAGACCAGCACAATCTTCTGGAACAAGCTCAATTGGCAGACCATTGGTCCAAGAGCGGCAGGCAGCTCCGAAGGAGCAGTTGACAATAGAAAAAAATGGGCCGCAGAGTGGACAGGACTGCCTTGAGGCCATGTCTGATTCATCTAACGATGCAGGGGGATACAGCTTTAGGAAACCACAGAGCATTGGTTGCAGCTCTCGCTCTGGGTTTCCTGAAACGGCCAAGGATGTTTCTGTGGCCGATGGGATTGTTAGATGTTCTAAGGATGACAATAGTGAACGACTGTGCCTGTCGTTCGCTCAGCAACAGCCTTCTGCTGAAACTGTGGAAGGTCAACCTCCTTCCAATGGCAGGTAAATGTTTGTTTCCTTTGGGCCATATTTTGATACTGATGTGCAATGGTACTATCTACGAACAACAATCTGCGATCTAGTAAATTGACTTGTTGGAGATGGCCTAACACTGTTCTGAACATGGATAGCTGTTGCTGCTGGAATTTGACTGCGATTCTCTCAATGCTCTTGTCCCTTTCATCTTGTGTGGGAAGTGGAATGCTTTTGGCACAACTGTGACTCTTTGGCAATTGGCTGGCCAAAAACCTTGCAAGTCTGTAGAACTATCAATGGAACAACAGTGTTTTGGAGTGTTGTATTTCGGCCTATAATGCGGTTTGTGACAGATACGGAAACCTGGTTGTAAGCCGCGCCACAGTTGAGATATCAGCAACGGTTGCTTGGTGTCTGGTGTTAATGGATGTGCGCAACATACAAGTGGAAGGTACGGTCACTGCTGAATGCCCAAAGTTACTGACATGGTGTTGATGGCCTTGTTTTGCTTCTGCAGGAGAACAGATCGTTGGAGAAGTTACTTTTCTGAACTCCGGGCAGGAAAAAGGGTGAAGCCACAAATGAGGAAGGAAACTTAACAGATATGCAATCCCCGCTTCTTGGTGTGAAGGGGAGATAATGGTTGCTTGCTAGATGTCTCAGACTCGACAGCATTGACATCGAATATGACTGCATGTTTTGCTTGCCTTTTTCTGTCTGATTTAACTTGTAAACCAAGAGGCTTGTTATAAGGGCGATATTGATGATTGGCTGTTTCCATTATTCACTGCCTGGTCACATGCTTTTGCCGAGGTTTCAGAAACGTGCACAGAATGCCATCAGCCTGTACTGTATGCCTCTTAGGTTCATAATGTACAAGGTTGAGCCAACTTGGCTGTTGAACACCACACGTTTTATCACGTTGCCTATAAGGATGCTCATGCATTCGTTCATTCAACACAACACTGTGTGGGGTCCCAGTTAGAGGTCGGCAGTAGGTTGGAATGCCGTCATAAGCCATTAACCCTACTGTTTTTGGAAACATTTGTCTACTCGGCGCCGGTATGTGGTTAACACAGCAAAATTACTAATTTCCTGTGCCAACAATTTTGATTTGGCGCCGTGCAGCGCCGCCTGGACCAATTCCTGGCCGTTCGCCGTACAAGTTGTTTTGGTTGTCGTACTTGGCCATTTGACTTTGGCGCTGTGTTGTTATCTGCCGCTTGAACCTCTGTTTTTCGCCCAATGTGTTTGTCTTGAAGGAAATGGCGTTGATGTGATTCAAACGGCTCCCTTTTGAGCGCACATAGGAAGCACAAATCTACGATCGCCAGTGCTTCAACAATGTTGGCAGATGACCACACGTGAGGCCACACACACATGCAACTCGGGCTTGCATATTTGCTTGCCCGACACAAGGTTCGAGCGCAACTCTCCTTGCCGACGGCGGCACTGAACACAACCAGTTTTCGTGATGCTTTCCCAGCCACCCGTCCGCCTATTTACCCCCCAAGGACTGTCATCAATCACATACGCCCATGCAACAATTCAGCCACATGCCGCCTCATCGCTAAGGTGCTGCCAACGAGTGAAACATGCCATCATCATATGGTCACTTATAAGCGCCCCCACTGCAAAATACGAATACAGTAACTTCTTGCAAGCCAAAGTTACAATAGGGTGGTGACAATGCTGTAAAGTTCAGGAAAGACACATCAGAAACTTCCCCACAAACCGCTTTTGTACTTTGACAAGACACCATGACCAAGGCATTTCTCTCTGAATTGCATGGCATTCTTTCATAAAAAAGGATACACTGCCATTAGGCCGATTATCATGCAAAACACATGCCTTCGTAATTCCGTATGGGATAGCCGCCCTTCGCGAAGCGGTGTACAAGGGAAGTGCGCACGGCCTGGTACTACATCGTGGACTCCACCGTGGCATCGCAGGTGATGATGCTTGAGGATGGCACGGGTGCAAGTATAATTCCTGGCAACCTCTTATCTTTTGAAATACATGCAAAGCAAGGCTCCAGACCAGCCTGTCTGAAGCAGCTCGAGCGCAAGAACAGGACCCATTAGCCTTTGTTGGCCCCTAGATCAGGTCTTTTCCTTATGGCGCGTGATGGTGAAACGGGTGCAAGTAAATTCAGGCGTAATACCTCCCCGCCATCACTACTGCCATTCTTTCATAAAGCTCATGTTGTCCCCAAAAGCATGAATGTGATCGACAATTGCCTCAAGAACCGAGCTAGGTCAAACGATTTCAGAATTCAATCAAAGAAATGGTTTCTAAGATATTTTTTATGAATGTGTCTATTTTCTCTTTGTCGCACACTACCAGTCTTCAAGCAATGGAATACGCAAATGCTAGGAAACCACTAACTCAATGCCGTACCAGGAATGGTGACACCCTGGCATGGGTTACCTTTGCATGTTTTAGAACAATATTTTTCTGCAACAATGTTTCTTTTCAATCATCTCAAGCAGAAGAAAATGCACATCAATCGCTAGCCATCAAGCATAAATGATCCACCCAATGAAACTGTGGTCATTATGCGGCTAAGCAAACAACTGGCAATTTTCTCAAACACGATTGGCTATCTAGAGGGATTAGGTTGTTGGGAATATTTTTAAAGGTACAAAGTGCACATGCTTGGAGCATAGCCACAGGTGCGGGGTCACCTAAGCATTGCCTGTCGCTTCAGAGAACTTAACGTGTTCACCAGTTGATCGCACAATACACACCAAGGACTTGGAAAATGCAATAGTGAATCAAATCCGGTCATTGACCGGAAAAAATTCTCTTCTAGGCGCATGGCCATATCAAATTTGGCCCTTAGGGCCAATAGGCTATTGCACTTGTGCCTTTCGGCCCGCTGCAATCTGTGCTGTTGTGCCCGTTCAGAAAAATCCATTGGGAATGGTGACACATTCGAAGAGTACTGTAGTGAAGAAATTTCGTCCGGATTGTTCAAATTGGGGTCGTCAGGCTCCTTCCTTTCAACATTGCTTGCTGAGACATCCACTGGTTCGGGAATGTGCTTAAAAGCAAAGCATATTTTGGCTTGCCAAGCGGAGTCATCAACCCTGATTAAGGATGCGATCTCCAGACTATACCAGCGCCGATATTTCAACAATTGCGCTAGGTTCACTGGTTGACCGAATTCTTCAGCTACCATGTCTCACCCTTTCTCCAACTTCTTGTGGAACTCCTGATGTATTGGGTTGTATACAACAAAAACACTTCTTTGCCGGTTATAACAATGCACAAGTTTGGGTGAATACTCCCACAACTCTCCCTTGTTTGGATCGTTGGTCAAGTCAATAGGCTCTTCTAGCCTATCCAGGGTTTAATCGCACACTCTCCGCACATTCTCAATCAAGGACTCCCCCCTAGGTTGTTCTTCATCACTAGATGTTCTCTTATGCACCTATGATCTAACACGATCTGTTGACCTTTTGGCCTATACACTCGAAGTTTCCCCCAGAGGAGATCTCTCTTGCTCACTTTGAGAGGTACTTTTTCACTTTGAGCCAAGTTGCTCATAGTTTTCTAGTTCTCCTTAGGCTCGGAAGACTCCTTCCCTTCCGGGATGCTTTGCTGCTTGGGGTCCGCCTAGGAACTCATGCGCCGTGGCTTCTCCACCTTCACCGCTGCAATCTTGTTCTACAACTTGGTCTCTTGCTCCTCTGCAAAGGTTGTCTTTGCCTGTTGCCGGCAGTAGCTTAGACGACTGACCTCGTCTTGAGTGGACTTCCTTTTCTGTTTCAGAGCATCTCCCTTGGCCTTCGCCTTTTTCAAGCCCATCTCGTGGTGTCTAGCAGCCTTTTCTATTTTTCTCTGTTCCTCAGCGTTCTCGCACTCTAGCTGAGCAACGCGTTCGGCTGTGTGCTTGTCTATCCTAGATTGTGCGTTCACCGCCACCGCCACCACCGTTTGCTGCAACACATCGACCATAGCAAGGAACTACAACAACACCGCAATATCCACTTGGGGAGTGCCACTACCGTGTTCTGCCATATGTTTAGATAACCTCCACAGGTGGTGGGAATCACTACCCGTGAGGTGCAAGAGATGCCAAGTAGGGATGGTACTCGGGTACAGGAAACCCGGGTACCCGGGCCGGGTATTGTTTTTACAGTACCCGCCTACCCGTATACTCGCCAACCCTCGTACCAAAACACTACTCCGTTCAAAATGTCCCATAACATGTGGTGAAAAATGAGGTTAAAACGTGTATTTCCTGACCTTGACATCCTACCAATATCGTATGAGTTCTGCTTTGACAATTCTGCAATATAGTACATATTAGGTTGCATTGAGATACAAAGGACAAATGAGAGGATTGAAGGCATTTTGGGGATAGTGCGGTTCCGCGATGGAGGAACCGCAATATGGAGATAGCATACGCAGTGGTTCCTTGCGCGTGGGAGATGGCCACCAGTTTGTTCATGCTCAAGGATATTATGAAGGTACATTGCAAGTTCAGAATCCATCGCACACAAGGCCAGAGGTAACAAAAAGTTACAAAAATGTTCAAACAACAAACATCCCAAAACGACCCGGGGACCAAAGGACCCGTACGCCTGCCGACATCCTATTGTCCCTGTCCAGTACCCCACAACCCCTCAGCAACTAAGCCCTGCGGAAGGTGACCTCATCCGTCACGGTTCGAACCCGTCTGACGACCAAACCGCCTGTCTAGGCTAGCCATTGGGGAGGGGTCTGGTAGTCCTCGGCGGACAAAGAGCACCCTTCGAGGCCCCGCGACAGATCGAGGGTGGGGTCGTCATGCTTGGGATGGGGCCCGGCAGAGGGGGCAAAAGAGTGGTGGGGGGCGGAGTGGGCAGCAGGGGCGGAGGGTGCAGAAGAACCAGATGGGCCGGAGGGGCCATAGGGGCCAGAAGAACCAGGGGGGCCGGAGGGGGCAGAGGGGGCAGAGGGGGGGGGTTCCTCCAGGGCGGTCCAGGAGATTGTTGGTGTGCCTGAGTGCGCCACAGCACCACCCCTTCCATCACGAGCCGCCACCACGTAGCTGCCCACCCTGCAGCCCCGACACCCCCCCACCAACTGAGCCGGTGTCAGCGCTCTGCAGGTACAGCCACAGACTGTACACACCCAAACGCAGTTGGTGGGGATAGCCTCATCGAAATCCAGCTTCAAGGTGAAAGGAGGCATCTGGAAACACACACACAGCGTAGTGAGCAAGTACAGCGTGTGAACAGTACCAACACGAGCTTGCAAAGTGCCATGTGGGACTTAGATGCGGTTCCGCGATCGCGGAACCGCACCAGGCATAGGATAGGGAGCAGTCGAGCCAACAGAAGGGCCAAGTTGAAGGCAAGTGTGGATGCGCGATCGCGGAACCGCACCAGGCACAACACATGGAGGATTGCATCCTGCAGAAGAGCAAAATTCGAGGCAAGTGCGATTCTGCGATCGCGGAATCGCACCAGGCACAGAAGAGGGAGCAGTCCAGCCTACAGAAGAGCCGAATTTGAGGCAAGTGCGGTTCCGCGATCGCGAAACCGCACAAGGCAGAGCACATGGGACAGTCGAGCCTGCAAAAAAGAAAAATTCGAGGCAAGTGCGG